CCCCACGAAATACTCGTTCAACCCCGTATTCGTGGAAATGAGCACTCCAATATATTCTTCATTGACCAACCTATCGGTGTCGGCTTCTCGTACGCCGACCACGGAGAGACTGTGGTAAGCCGACGCGGTTTTATTCTATCAAGATAATCCTGATTAATTGCGTGCAGAGCACCACTGAAGAAGCTGCAAAGGACGTCGCTGCTTTCGTGGCAATCTTCTTCGAACACTTCAGCAAGTTCAAAGGCAGAGGATTCCATCTGGCTGGTGAATCGTACGGGGTAAGTCTATGCAAACCGAGGGGTATGACGGGCAGCTAGAGTACGTTTGGCATCATAGGGTCGCTATCTTCCCGTGTTTGGATCTGCGATCTATGACCAGAATACCAAGCTAGTGGATGCGAGTTTAGCACCGATTAATCTCAAGTCTCTCATGATTGGTGCGTCGACATATATACACTTGGAGTTGGTAACGTGCGGTTAACATCTTCCTGCGCGCAGGAAATGGATGTACGGACTGGTTATCGATGCTCAGAGGGCACTACGAAGTTCAATGCACCAGCGTGACCCTTGCGCCTGTGCAAGACATAGGGTATCACAAACATGTCTGCTCTCTGCTTTCTCTGACGGCTTCTTTTCCTGCAGAACTTGTGTTGATATGAAGCGGCGTGTACATCATCTTCATCCACCCTACTGTACCTCCTGGCTGATGCGTCATCTCATAGCTTTCGCGCTGCGAGAAGTGGTACAAAGACACTTGCATCGATCGGAAAGACAGCATTAGCTGTTCTACCGCGAGCGCGTTCTGTGCAGAATCCATTATGGCACCGTACATGGCAACAGGTACAGAATTTGCTCTCGCATAGGATGGCTCGCAGCTCAACGGTGCCTTCAGGACTCAACCCCTATGACCTCACAAAGAAATGGCATGTTCGGCTAACGCGTCTTAGCGGTGCAGCGGCTAACGTACATTTAGTGGTGGGCACGCCCTGTGCTACGAGATCATCGGGTACGTCCCACCCTTGCGTCACGCGAGACCGACGCTCCTGACCCCCAGTCTGCAGCGATATCGATACATACCTGAACCAATCTAGCGTGCGCGAGATTATCGGCGCCGACCCGGCGGTGAAGAACTTTGCGAGCTACTCCGGGACGGTCGGACAGGCGTTCGCGCGTACGCTCGATATTGAGTTCCCGACGCAGTACTACGTCGCGGCGCTCCTCGAGCGCGGCGTGCGCGTGCTGGTGTACGTCGGCGCGAACGACTTTGTCTGCAACTGGGTGAGTTTTTTTTTTGTCGCAGTGGGGGTATTGAACTGACAAACGCGCTGTTCTGTATAGCGCGGAAACGAAGAGATGTCGCTCGCTCTGGAGTGGACAGGACAGGCGGCGTTCAGGAGCCAGCCTCTCCGCCAATGGCACGTGGACGGCCACGTCGCGGGTGTGACCCGCAGTGCGGGTAAATTCACCTTTGCGACTATCGATGACGCTGGGCACTTGGTAAGCTTTGCGGCTAGAGGCGTAGCATGCGTCCTAATTCTCCTCTCTGCGCCCATAGGCACCGTACGATAAGCCGATAGAGTCCTTGGAGCTGCTGAGAAGATGGCTGAACGAGGAAGAATTCTGAACCTCGAGTCTGTTGTGGTAGCCGTAGCCATCCTTGCCGCTTCATTCTTCTGCGGGCTCATGGCCGCGCATGTTTCTAGTAACACGCCGGCGTCGGCCCTGTTCTGCATAAAATTTGCCATGTACGTCTTGGAAAACAGATGTTTCCTTGTTGTTAGCCCGCGACAGCTCTTATACCGTCTTGTGGCGCATTCCCACCCCAAAACCTTAGTCTGCGTTCCTCATTTGCGTAGTGCCATCACACCTCATTAGTGGACTCGTTTCGTTGCACTTTAGCCTGTATTATACTGGCATTTGGGGTCTACTCTTTCAATCCTGGACATCCCACACGCCAATGCTCGTCTGTATGCGATCAGAAACAGGACATGCGAGCATACTCTATGGGCGCAAGACGGAGAGACTACCGAGCCGCTCCAGGAGAATGCTACTTGACGAATTGTCTCCGAGTCTGGCGGGAACGCGCAGGTCCTTGGCTTGGCTTCGCCCTCACATACGGGAAGGTAGCTAACAAAACCTGAGGGCTGCATCGCGCGCACGCGCACGCTGCGTGGATGGCGAGTAACCGTGGGTCAGGCAGGGGAAGGCCTTGCCGGCCCTAAGTCGCCTGAGTTTCTCCGGTTTTCACCAGGGAAAATCGAAGACGGCTTGAAAGCTCAGCTTTCCGCCGGTTTTACTACTCTTTTGGCCGGTTTTGCACGAAGAACCACTGTGCCAAATTCGCCACTTTTGTCAAGGTTTTCTCAAGAAAACACGTGCGCTTACCACGCTGTAAGCTCGCTTTCGAGCGGAAAGTGAGCTAACGCGCGCTAAAGCATGCATTTTTAACTCACCTTCGCCTACATGACTCAGATCAAGCGAATCCGAACCGAACTCGCCTTCCGAAGTCGTGACTCGCCGAGCGTCTGCCTTACGATGCGCCTTCGTACACTTTCTACTGGTGAGTTTTCGTGAGCTTTCGCGCGAGAGCGTGCACGTACAGATGTACACGACTGCTCACGCCGAACTTTGGCCGCTCGGCGTAGCGTTCGTACGCGTTTGTACGTGTACGCGCTCGTTCGTTTTCAGGCGCGTTTGTGTCCCTTGCCTACCGAATCGTGCGTATTTATCGCACTTATATCGAACTCTTCTGGTTTTATCCGACAACAATCTTCATACGATCAAAGGCAACACTTGCACTATCCGTTTTCGGCATGTTTCCGCCGGACCCACAAGCGCCTGCATTGCCTGAGTTGCTCCGCGCTGCTTCGGCGACGACGACGTAGCGAGTCACTGCGCTTCCGAGCGACATAGTATCTTCTCATCATTGATCACTCTGGTCTCTACCGAGTCAACATCCGGTGGTACCGACAGATTGAAACCGCCTCGCGTGCTTGTACAGCAAACTGTCTTCTCCTCGTGCCACCGGACGTACGTTGACGCCTACTACATGTTTAAATACTGACCGCACGTCGTTCAAATGAACTCATTCGACTTATCACAACCACAACCACCATGGGTAGCCTAACATCTACGACTTGCACCGCGCTCTGCGTTGGATGCCTCACCTACATTCTATTGAGAGCTTACCGCATGTTCGCGGGCACTACAGCTGCTCGAGGACTCGCAAAACTCCCTGGACCTCGCGGCTGGCCGCTCGTTGGCTACTTGCGTCCCATCGAGAAGCCCGTGTGTGTCACGTACAGACAGTGGAGCGACGACTATAGTAAGTTCCATTATACCTCCCCGCCTTTTCTAGGTGCTCATTCCCAAGCAGATTCCGACATACTAGGCATGAATATGCTTGGGACTAACATCGTCATAGCAAACACTCTCAAAGTCGCAACCGAACTCTTGGAGACTCGGTCCGCCATCTACTCTGACAGGTGTGCCACATTCCGCTCCTTCCCACAGACACATCGCTAACCGACTCAGGCCGAACGCAGGTCTTACTATGCTGAGAGAGCTGTATGTTACCCGGTCGTGCGGCCTATTTATTTTACTGAATTGTGCCTAGTGTTGGATTCGACTGGAATCTGGGACTGGCACGATATGATTCGTACTGGCGCGACCTAAGGAAGGGGGCGTCTCAAGGATTTCACCCTCAGGCTATCGTGCGCTATCGGCCGACAGAGATCAAAGCGACACTCAAGCTCCTCCGCAACCTCATTGAAATGCCGGAAGACTTCCGAAGGTGCATCAAATAGTGAGCCAATCCGCCGTTTTCTACATGGTGATCGCGATCTGAACATCGCGAAGCTTTGCAGGGCAGCAAATCTTACCCAACACGTACGGTCTGGAGATCCAGGACAGCAACGACCCGTACATTGCAGCGGCCGAGCGGGCGGTACACATCGCTGTTGCATGTGTGGTGCCGGGCACGTTCCTGGTAGATCTCATTCCCATGCGTACGTTACATGGACTCTGCTCAGCCTACCATCATCCTAATAACTGTTAATTTCACAGTGAAATATGTTCCAGAATGGTTCCCTGGTGCTGGATTCAAGAGACAAGGTCGAGAATGGCGGAAAGATGTGGACGTTGCGTTTAATGCGGCGTTTGATGCAATGAAGGTGGGAGTCAGCCCCTGGATCGTCTCGTTTAGCCACAGCTAAAGTAACGGTTTTTAAGGCCCGGGATGATATTCCGTCAGACTGCATGGCAAGGCCGCTCCTAGAGAAGATGCTCGGCCATGAGGACCCTGCGTATGCGGAGAACGTCGTGAAAGCGACACTGGGCTCGATGTATATAGGTAAGCTTGCACAAACATAGCACGCTCAGAATCTCACTGAATATTCTCCCGCGCAGGTGGAGCAGACACGGTTGGTACTATTTGTGTTCGTTCGTCGGAAATTTTGCTGACAAATGGGAAGACCACATCCACCCTAGAGACGTTCTTCCTCGCTATGACATTGCACCCTGAGGTTCTGCAAGAGGCACAGCACTCTGTGGACCGGGTGTGCGAGGGACGACTGCCCGACTTCTCGGACTACGACGCGCTGCCGTGGATACATGCTATCGTGAGGGAATGCCTACGCTGGCGACCTGTCGGCCCTATGAGTGTGTCTCCTCTCTTTTGCATTTGAGCAGTCTGGGTATTGACGGCTGTCCAAACAGACTTGGCGCACACGTCGACCAAGGACGACATCTATGAGGGCTATTATATCCCAAAAGGCTCGCTTGTCCTCGCGAATGTTTGGTACGCTTCGTAGGCCTTTTCTGAGCTCCACTTAGCTTACATAGCGTGCAGGGCAATCTTGCACGACCCTGAGGCATACGCCGATCCAGAAGCCTTCAACCCGCGACGATTCCTCCGACCACGCTCGGGCGCAGACGCAGCGGATGCAGAGGACGTCGAGCTGGACTCGACGGTACGCCACCCGATGGTGGCAGCTTTCGGCTTCGGGCGTCGTATCTGTCCTGGGCGTCACATGGCGTATGAGTCGCTCTGGATCGCGGTCTCCAGCGTTGTTGCTGCATTCGACATAACCAAGGCCATCGACGCAAATGGTGCGGTCATTGAACCGAGCGGGGAGTACACGGATGGGTTCTTATCGTGGGTGCCTCTTTGGATGTCGGTGAGAGAACGGCTATTGATGAATGAATTTCTAGTGCGCCGATGCCGTTCAGGTGTTGTATCCGTCCGCGATCGCCCGCGCACGCGGCGATGGTGCAAGCTGCGCTAGAGCAGGAAGGGTAAAGCAGCTAGCTGTAGACAGCAGTGTTCCGTCGGTCCTCCCTGATGGTGGTTCGACTACGGCTCAAATATGACAGCTGCACTTGCTACGATGGCCATACATATATTATTGAGACATGCGTCTTTCAGCAGCAGCGCACAAAGCAAGCCATAATATACCTGATAAAGAGCACAGGATGTCCTCCAGGATGCAAGAAGTGAAGGTTCACATTTTCTCGTCTGGTCTGCTTGCTGTAGCGAGACTCGGAAAACTTCTTCACCTTAGTGATTGGGCCTTGTATATCGCCACCGGCACCTATTTATGTTATTGGAGTAGTAAGAGGTTCTCTGATACACTTAACGAACTTTTCGCTGTTATCAGAGAGCGTACTTTAAGAGAGGATGCCGGCGATAAATATATGTCACCTAGTGCGGCCATTGGAGTCGGAACTGCGCATGTGCCCCGCGTCACGGGAAGAATAACCAGAGTTGAGATGAGCCGACACTGAGCGGGCTTACCATGAGATGTAGTTAAGAAAGTGGCCACGGTAAGTCATCCTGAAGTTATGGAAAGCGAAGAGCGGTGAGCCGACATTTCTCGCGTACGTGCACGGTCAATATGTTGACCTGGATTCAATATAGCAGCACGTTCGGCGGCTCATACCAGACTATAAGCACGAGTCCGATAGCGTTGGTGTGTATGAGAGGGCATATGCTCCTTTATGCCAGCATAAGAGGCGGTAACAGTTCGGGCATCCAATGGGCCAGTAGGAGAATCGTGCGGACGTCAAGTGCCGGCATATCGCGTTTGAGATATGTAGCTTATCATCTACAGTTGTCTACTTTTGTTTCAACTGCACATATAACTAGCATCGTCAAAAAGTTTCGCCTCGGCAGATACCGCGCCGAAACGTTCCATGCCACCTCATGGTGGTCTCAGCATGAAGCGTTCCAATATGACCCCAAATGACTAACCCAGTTCAGGAAAATAACAATGCTCCAGAGTAGCCAAGGCAGATCCAAGCAAACCAGAGAGCTCCGACACGCCAGCTCACTCCACAGCGACAGCAGCTGTTTCTCCGATGTCGATAACACCAAACCCGCCCTCCTCGTGCCAGTCCCCAACGTGCTGCTTCTCCTTTGCCGCTACTAATTCTGCAACAGGCTCCCGCGCCTCTCCGTCCGACCCTGCGAACGTCGCAAAGTGCATCCCTATGCTGTGCCGCGACCGAATGTCCTTGTGCAAGCGCACGGCGTGCGCCGGCGACGCGTGCAGGCCGTCTATGAGCTCAGTCGAGACCAGCTGCGAAGTGCGCGGCAGTGTAAGGGCGGCAGAACAACAGGGAAGGGAGGAGACAGCCACGCACCCGGAGGCCCATTGCGGCTATGAACGAAAGTGAACCGCCGCGCCAGATGGGTATCATTGCCATGTCAAACGGTCCGTACCTCTCTCCAATCTCTGCAACCAAAGTCAGCATGGCCTCGCGAGATCATCAGAGCCGCAGACGTACCAGCGAATGCTGGGCAAGGCCCCCCATGCGTCATGTAGCCGGTGTCTCTGGCGATTCTAGTTAGTCAAGACGCGACGCCCCTTCCAAGGAGCAGCTTACCCCGCGTGGTATACAGCTGCCCTCCTCCCATCTCCAATATCTTGATGTACAACCCAGCTAGCCCACAGCGTCGATCTCTGATCAAATAAGCTTCTGCCTGGTGCTGCCAATTAGAACCCGCGCCGTTGATCATGCCGAGTGAGGGCACTCACCACTGCCATGCTGTGCGGGCGCACATATAAACTTGACAGTTGGGTGCCTCTCGCTAGCACGCAGCTCTGCACTTTCGTGCCAGTCTAGTTCGACGATCTGTTCTACGGGTATGCCGCCGCTGCGAAACCACGATTCCAGTCCGAGAGGAGCGACAAATGTGACATGCTCGCCCTTCATCTTGTATATGCGCTCTATCGTGGGCCAATCTAGGTGGTCATAGCTGCACGAACACCGAGCTGTCCTGTAAGACGCAAGCAGAGAGACCACACGAAGCAGCCGGCTCACTGGTTGTGGCTTGTGACGACGTACTGAAAGTCCGGAAGCTGGTCGAGGTCGCAAGGCGGCGGCAGCCTTCTTCGCGGACCTGCGGCCTGATGCGGCGAGGCACGTTCAGACCAGATGGGATCGAACAGGATCCGGACGGGGTCGAGCTCTGCGACTTGCGGAAGCTGGACTATGAAGCCCTGAGATCCTGTCCTGTGAGCTCACAAACGTACGTAAGGCCACAAACACTACGCACCGCATGTCCGAGCCACGTCGCCTTGATTCTCCCTTCGTCCGGCGTGCGCGCCCCAAAGTCCGGGCGCACGACGCGGATGTGCTTGATGTCGTACCCCTCGATGCGCTTCGCGAGGGCGAGTGGGAACTGCGCGAAGACCTGACGCGAAGCGAGCAGCGACTTGGGCGGCCATGGATTTTGGAACGCTGTCGCGTCTGCGTTGGCGTGGTGCGCCGGCGGGTCGGTGTCGGGGACGTTCATCATTCGGACGCTCAGGCACGTCGGTGTGGGCTGAAGAAAATGTTCAGGATGAGCTGTGGTCAAGGTGTGCTGAGGAGCAGGGCGTGCAGATGCGAAACGAGGTGTGTGCACCACCCATGGTGGTGGTAGATGATCATGAGCGCAGGTGCGGCCATGGCTGGCGCGCAGGGATGCGTCATTGCATGGGTTAGGGTTACTTCGCGGATCGCATGGTCGTATCCGATCGAGGCCATGCAAATGCCATCCAAAACTGCTCCGGTGCACAAACTGGGTAGATATCTCGTTATGCAGATGAGGCACGTCGCCGCCAGCAAAATGGACACTGGGAGGATTGAACTCCCGACCTCACGCAATCGCATAGCAACTGCAAGATGCAAAGCGTGCGCGCTACCACTGTGCCAAGTGCCCGGGATTCAGGTACCGTAGCCTCAGATGGGCCGTTTTTCTCGTCACCAAGATACTCTACTCTGTCCCACGCGTACAGTCGGAGGAGAGTTATCTTGCTAGTCGACAAGACGATGTGTGTCAAACTGACATTTCGTATCACGAAAGCACCGTGACGGGTCACTTGAGCACGAGAATGCCATAAGATCTTTAAGAGGGTCGGGCAGTGTCAGTGATCATCGATCGTCTGGCTGTGTCGTGGACAGGGTGGGTACGAACTCAATCTCGTGGACTTAATTTTCCCTTTCTTACTCCGAACGTGGCTAAAGGTTCGACGAAATACTCACCGCTACGTGGACACGCCAAGCTACAGATTGTGGCGTGCCCCTCCGTGGGAGGCATACCATTGGAAGACGGTGCGCATGATAATAAGCTACATCTTCTGTGGTCCGGTTTCTAACGCTCAGGCATGGTTCAGGTGTCTGATGTGAGCAGGGTGCATGTGTTCTCAAATGTCTTCGGATCTTTTAGCTGCTATTGCACACGGTAATATATACTATTCCCAATGCTTAATTGACGTACACCAGGATAAAAACTTGCCTCCCTTCTCAGCGAGGTCAGATGGTTGCCGACTCCTTGACTATCGTGTTCTACATCGCAGCTTTCGCCTCGGTATTCGCGCTCTATGTTTACACCACCAGACGACGTCTCCCGCCTCATCCGCCAGGGCCACGCGGCTGGCCTATCATCGGAAACCTGAAGGTCCCCGATGAGCCTTCTTACAAGGGGTACCGGCAGTGGAGCGAAGAGTATGGTGCGTGCTTTGACATTCTCTGGAATTCATCCACTGACTCTCTGTAGGCTCGGACATTGTCCGCATCAACGTCCTGGGCACGAACATCGTCGTGACAAACACGCTCGAAGCGTCCGCGGATCTGCTCGATAAGCGTTCGCTGATATACTCTAACCGGCCGACCCACGGGGTGACGATGATGCGAGACC